CTTAACCAGGTCACAAACATCCAGAGTCTTGCTTCAGACCATGGTTATTCCACTGATTGCCTGCCTTTATATCTCCACTACCTTGGACTTTAACCACCTGTCTCTTGTCTGGCATCCCTAGGTCTCATTCCACTTAATAGAGTGGAAGGAATTCCACTTAATAGAGCCCAAACTGGGCTATTTTCTATCCTCTATTGTCATCCTGTTTTCTTCTTTCCCCATCTTTGCTCACATCATTGCTTCCACCTATGGACATCCCTCCATTCCTTCAAGACCCACTGCAGGAGCCACCTCCTTTCCAAAGTCTTCCCTGATCAAGTTACATCTTTCTGGAGGAAAAACATGCACACAAAATGCAAGATATGTACAAAGTAATTACCAAGTAAATGTAATGCTGAGGGTATAGAAAGGAATGCCCTTCCACTACCTCCTATAGCCATCTCTTGAAGATTCCGCCTAGGAATGTTGGGAATAGTATGATGTGCTAAGACCACAAGGTCATTGATTAAGAGCTGGAAGTGACCTTAGAGGCACCAAGTCCAAACCTTTCATTTTACAGATGAGGAAACTGAAACTGAGAGACATTAAGTGGCTTGTTTGGGGTTGCCCAGCCAGGAAGCGTCTGAGTCCATTATTTGAACTAGGTGTTCCTGAGTCCAAACCCAGTGTTTTTTCCATAGTACCATCTAGCTGCCTTCTACATGCCATGGCAAATAGTGCTATCTGAATAATGATGTGTGTATATGGATATACACATACATGCATATGTAGATACGTATATTACACATATACATATACAACTGGCATGGCAACATATGACAAGGTGAAACAAGTGTCAAAGACATTTGTCTTTGAAATACCTTCAGGGGTCTTCAGCTTCCATCTGCTGTCCCCTTCTGCTTGGAATTCACTAAACAGTAATCATTCTGCTAAGCGTTATCTCTTCTCTAAAGAATGTCACACTTTGAAATAAATGCTGCTTCTGTACCTTAATTCAAAACAATCCCCCACATCCATGAAGCAGAAGCATAGACAACATTTCTTTAATTTCTAAGAAGCAGTAATACTTAAATTTTTTTAAACCCAAAGCCTACTTCAGTGCCTCATTATAAGGTGAGGTTAACCCAAGGCTCTCAAAGGCTGTTTCAACAGAGCCAATGAGCTCTCTTTGACAGGTACTACACCAAGCTGAAAAGTACATGTCCAGTGATAAACTGGGTGTCTGTAGTCTGAGGACCACCTCTGTCAAGTTCAGATAATCAGCTAGCACAAGATGAATTTAGCCCTTGAAGCTCACGGGAACTGTTTATTAGGATGTGGAAAGGTCGTTGCGTTGTGCCTAAAAGGAGGGTGCACCCACCCCAATGAAATCAGGGGCCTTTTAAAGCCTTACAGAAGTATTTTGATTCTATGACATATTTGATGCTATTTCAATAGGGCTCCTGCTATGTTTAGGATCAATATAATCCACATCTGACTTTTTATCAGATGCCAAACATTGCCATGTCACTGAGAGGCACAGAGTTTGCCAGACAAGTGACAACCTATTTTTAGGTCAAAAAAAAATTCTAGTTCTCTAATTTACACAACTAGTGTTGCATAAAAATAACTTCTCCCAACTGGCCACACCCACTCATTCAGTAAGGATTTGTGAAGGGCAGACCCCATGGCCTAAGGAAAACCACAATCTTTGCATTTTAGGAAATGGGGATTTATATGGGGAATGTGGGATCATATGCTATGCTCCAGTTTAAAAGAAGAACTTTATAAGACTTTAATTCAGGAAGATGAAAACCATTTCAGCCACAGTGTTGATGCCTTTATGGTTTTTGTTGTTGGTTTTTGTTTTTTGGTTTTTGGTTTTTAGGGTTTTTTTATTCTTAGCCCTCCCACAGGCTTAACAAACAGACTCAAATCTTTCACAGGCACCCCTGTGAGCTAGTTAGGTAATGTTACCATAGAAACCTGAAATCTTCCTTGTCCTCATTTTTGTGTGTATGAAATTCCAGCCTTCACATAATATTCCCATCAATTTCCTTTACATAATGCTTTTAAAAGAAAAACACTAAAGAAAAAAAGAGCAAAGAAAAAAATATCGGTCATGCTAAAAAGTGATTTTCCTAGAATTGACACTAACCCTTTTGGGCCAAGTCGTATAACTGTTTGACTCACACAAAATAATTTAGGGGAGGAAGAGAATGACTTACATTTGAAAAAAAAAAAAAGATTTTTTTTTAAAATCAGTAGAACTAGGACAACTACTTTAAAAATCAGTGATATGGGGAGGAGAGGGCAGGAAATGAAAAAGCTGGATTCAGGCAAACTGATTTGGGGTATGAATATGTAATCTCTAAAATTCAAAGCTGATCTGGAACAAGTCCAGCTGAGGGCTCCCAAGGAATTTGCTCCCATTAGTAGTGATTCAGGGGTTTTCAGTCTCTGAGGGGTCTCTAAGTGCAAGAACTTCAGGCAATCTGGGTGGTTTGAATCACTCTGCCAATGAGGGTTCTAAAATCTTTTTATTTCTTTTGCAAGTAGACTCTGACTGATAGTTGTGGGTGCAGCCAATGATGCCAAAAATCAAGCCTTACTATATGAGTGGTGACTTTCCACCTTTACGTCTTCCTTCAAACCAATGTTTTCTTTTCACCACATGAACAACAAAAACAAAGGTGACTTTTGGCCCATACTGCAATGAGCTTTACAATAGACAGTGCCACAGAGGCAGGGAGATGATGGAGACAGCTCATACTGGCTCCTTATACCTCAGAAATCAAAACCGCTACAAATCAAGACTTGATTTGCTGTTTTATTGATAATCTAAACCTAAGACAGTGATAGTGTAGTACTCTTTTTTGAGAGCAGATAGTTAAACATTTACCAGCATACCCCTGGATTGATGACATCTCTGCCACATGTTTCCTTGGTGCTCTCAGATTAAAAAAAAAAGTACAGCATCTGGTACATAGCAGGTGCTTAATAAATGCTTGTTGACTGTACTTGACTATCCCTTCCCCTTTATTTCTCCACCAACTGCTGCCCCTCTCCCCCATTAGTACATAAACTCCTTGATTTAGGACTTTCTAAGTCTTTGTATCTGTATTCCCAATTCCTAGCACTTTACCTTGGCACTGAGTAGGTACTTGATAAATATTTAGCTACTGCAGACAGATTTGTGACCACGGGCAAGTCACTGAACCTGTCAGTGTTCCCAAGAAATTCTCTAAGGCTTTAAGTCACAAAGAATGTGCTCATCTGCTTCAGTGTAGTGAGTTTCCACCCCTTAAATCCCCTATACTCATGAAAAATCTTTGCTGCATCCCCTAAAAATAAACTTGGATATCAAAAGAAATAGGCACTGAATCCAAATGTGATGTTTTTATGCATTTAAGGTGCTTTAATAAAAAGTAATTCATGTAACTTAAATCAAACCTATGTCCCTTCCTTGCTTTCTAAAATAGCCCAGAACGCCTCAAGGTACTTTTCAGTGGATTCAGCATTCTGAGGTATGCAAATTATCTCCTCCTTCAGTGCATTCACACACTAATAAAACAAGGATATGACTCAGCACCTTTGTGACACAAAAAATGTCCAGATGTACCAATGGAAATGGCAGTAACAGACTGATGATCACACCAAAGTCTAGGAGACTCTATAGGGACAGGTGGCAGAAGGGGAAATATGCTGGGGAGTTGTTGAAATGTATCCCTGTTAAAGAAATTCATTGGCTGCTGTACCTCTGAGTTTCATAAACATGTTTGCCCAACTTTTCCATAATTGTGTCCTTTCTAACAACACCAACTAGTCATAGACCCTGGAAGTCAGGAATCCTAAGGGAAAATCTTGGAATTCATCAGTTGCTTGTATTCTTTTGATTCAATCAGGGATGTTTAGAGCATATGAGCAAAAAAATTGAAAACTCAGAAAAATATTGTTCCAAATCCTTTAAACGTTTTTAAATTACCTAGTTTACTAAGCTTGCTAAGGGTTAATGATTCTTGAGGCTCAGATCTACGTGAGAAACATTCAAAAGGCAATGGAGAGGAATTAATCCACAAAGAAAAAGGAGAAGGCGCTGCCATAATATCAGAAGTCTAGAGCTGGAAGGATATTGGAGACAATCGAGTCCCACACCCTCATCTTATAGATGTGTAAACTGAGGCCCAGAAATATTAAACTATTTGCCCAGTGTTGAAAAAATGTCTGGTGGGCTTTGAACTGATTCCATATCCAGGGCCATATTCATTTATACCTAGATCCTCCCACAGTAGAGTATCTTTTAAAATCTTAGTTTATATATTCATAGAGGTAGAAGGGACCTAAGAAGTTATCCATCATTTTACAGATGAGGCCAAGAGCAACTAAGTGACTTACTCAATGTAACAGAGACATAGCCTAGATTTGAGCTAAGGTTCTCTGACTCTAGATTCGATGGATGTATAATTATATGATGTTTCTTCTCTAAAGTCTTTGCTAGCTGTACTTTACCAGTATTTCAAGCACTGCCCAGTTAGAAGCATAGCACTGCAGTACTATTCATCTTTGGGCAAACTAAGTGGTGCAGTGGATAGAGTGCCAGACCCAGAGTCACAAAGACTCATCTTTCTGAGTTCAAATCTGGTCTCAGACACTTACTAGCTGTGTCACACTGAGCAACTCACTTAACCCCGTTTGCTTTAGTTTCTTCATCTGTAAAATGAAATGAAGAAGGAAATGGTGAACCACTCCAGGACCTTTGCTAAGAAAACCCCAGAGGAATCATAAAGAGTCACACACAACTGAACAACAACCAGAAAAATTCATCTTTCAATAAATTACAAAGAGCTTCCTAGAACTTTTGTTTGGGAATCTAAAAATTCTAGCTCTTCTATCAGACTAGAGTTTAAATGCAATTAAAATTCACATGAAATTCCTCAAAGTGCTAATGTTCACCATTCAAATGTACCATGATTAGAGAATTCAAATATTTGTTGGACCCAACTATTGACTTGGCTTCTTACCTGAAGCAGAAAATCAAAAAGTGCCATCTTAGACCATTCGTGGTGATGCACTTCAGTACATCCCCATTCCGCTTTGGGCACTCTACCATTTTGCCAACATTTTTGCTTAAGTAATTGTTGATAAGCACTCCAAGTGAGAGAAAGAGAAGAATGACTTCCATTATATGCTGGAGACAATGATGAGTCCCAGAGAATCACAGGGCAGGGACGGCCATCTAAAAAGGAGACAAACAAAAATAAACAATATTTACGTGTCTTAGATAAATCACTTCCAAACTCTCTGCCCCAATTTCCTTAACTGTAAAATGAAGAAGTTATTGAAAAATAACTGTGCCCATCAATTGGGAAATGCCTGAACAGATTATGATATAGGTATATAACTGGATATTGTTGTTCCACAAGAAATGATGAAATGAAGAGTTTCAGATAAACCTGGGACCTGCATAACTAGTGAAGTGAACTTGAACCAAGAAAACAATTTATATAACAACGAATTCGTAAAAACAAACAACTTTGAAAGACTTAAGAACTCTGATCAATACAAAGACCAACCAAGATTCCAAAGAACTGGTGACAGAATCATTCTATCCTCCTTCTGATAGAGAAGTGATAGACTCAAGGTGCAGAACGAAACACATTTTTTTAATGTGGCCAATGTGGGGATTTATTTTGCTTGAGTGGACTATGTGTATTTGCTACAAGGGTTTCATTTTTCTTTCATTTCCGTGAGGTAGGGGAAGTGAAAGGAAGATTAAATTTCTTTTTGTTCATTGAAAAAAAAAATTTTAAATAAAAGCTTTTATCTTCTAATCTCTGGGGTGGGGGAGGGGAAAGGAACGTTATGGGAAATCAAAGTGATGTAAAAACAAAAAATAAAATGTTTGAGAAAAAAATAAAACAAGATGAAGGAGTCAGACTAAGGGATCTCTAACTTCCCTTCCAGCTTCAGTATTCTCTGATCCCAGAATTCTGTCATACGATCTTCCCTGATAGAATCTTCCACATTTGAGAATCATTTTTTTTACAAAGATATTTTATAGATGTGGCAGGAACTGGCTCCTAACCACCAATAACAACGTCCTTTGGTTAATGTGGTCTTGCTCCACTTCTAAAAACAGCCACCATAGAGGAGGAAAAAACCCAGACATTTAAAATTGTCTATTCAATGTCTGAGTAGAGCTACTCTCCATTTGTAATAACAGCTGTCTGCTTTTCTGAGGCCACATTATGATGTCAGGAAGACAAGGATTTTTAGAAGCTACAAGTGAAATTGTCTGGCCTTCCTAACCCTCCAAAACAATCTGAAAAAAAAAATACAAGCAAACTCAGCAAACACCCATTAAACTTCTATTACGTGTAAGATGCTGAGCTAGATACTGGGGATAGAAAGCTTAAAAACAACATAATCCCAGGCCTCTAGGAGCTTAGAATGGGAAGGATGAGAAAAGAACACAAGTAGCTCAATATAAGATAGAATGTGATAGAGGCAAAACTGAAATCTCAAATGCTTTAAGAAACTTGAGTGGGAAAGATCTCTTTCAGTTAAGGGGGATGAGGGAATCCTTCACAGATGAGGTAACAGCTGAGCTTGACTTTGAAGGATAAAAGTAATTCTCAGCAATTCAAGATGAAACTGGCATCCATTCCAAGAAAAAGTATTACTAGGAATTCCAATACCTGAGGAAAAGGTAGTGAAATAGGATATTGAGACCAAAGGAGAGAGCTTGGGCACTGAGATACAAACCAGAGACTCTGAGAAACCACTACTGGGGAGGGCACTACTAGGGGAGAGAGCAGTGCAAGACTGGGCTGGGGAAGCTCACCTGGAGTATAAGTAAGTCTAAGAATTATAGAGAGTCTGCTGGTCTTCACCTTCCTATTTCCTGGGTAATTTATCATCATTATTTGTCCATTCTTGGAAAAGATCATGTCACCAGGAAGGTGATGTTATGACTTGTAAGTGAATTGGATTTAAGTGAGGGAGGGCTGTATAAAGTCACCAGCCTCACTCTTTCCTCCCAAGCCATCTGCACAAGTCACTAACGAGCTCTGCTTTCCAGTGAGTCCAGCCTAAGTTCACTTGATGCATTATGCAATGTGAAGCTCACAAAGACTCATTAGAGAAAGGAAGCATGCCCCTTCAGTTACATGCACCCTGCCTGAGACAACCTCCAGTCACCCTGCCCTAGTTAAGGCTGAGTTGGGAGAGAACACTGAATTAGGAGAGGCAAAACTGAGATCAGCAAGAATTCTAGCTTACCCAGAACACAAAGTAGGTGAAGGGCAATCATTGAAATAAGCTTAGAAAAATAGGTTGGTACCAGACAGAAGAAAATGGATTGTCAGGTAAATACTATAGTTTATTTTCTGGGTGACTGAAAGAGCTTTTATAAATTACATTGAAGAGACTTCTCTTGGCCCTGAGTGGGAGCATATAACTCAGCTGTGTGACTTTAACCCCCCAGTCTAGCAAGGTGAGCAAGGATGTGTCCCCCATGTGCTCAGGTCTCATCTCCCTCAGCAGGCCCCACTGGTTCACTAAAGGGAAGCCCCATGAAAACACTACAATTGCAATATGTTAATTTTACTTAGTGAAGAGGTTCACAATCATTGGATTAATTATGTTGGGTTCTTTTGGACCAAACCTCTTAAGTATAGAGTTGGTCATTGTTTGTGATTGCATGTTTTCTTTAACTCTTTCCTCTTTGGCATTCCAAGTGGGAGGGAAGTGAGAATCTCCAAGGTAATAAGGCTCTTATGCTTTTGTGCATTGTCATTTTCAACCGTATTGATAATAAAATTCTCTTTTGAATAGTAAATAGATAAATGTTATCCCATGATTTGGAATTGACTGGATTTTGGGACAGGGGAAATATAGTAGGAGAGCGAAAGGAATGAAAGATGATGTTGAGGTTCTGAAACTGGATGCCTGGGAGCATTTCAGTGCTATCCTCAGAAATAGAGGAGGTGGTAGAAGGAGGGGTTCTGGCAGAGCAGAGGCTCGATTTTGTAGACGGTGAATTTGAAATACCAATAGAACATTCATGCAAAGGTGTCTAGGAGGTAGCTAGAAATACAGAATTAAAGCTCAGGGGAGTGAATGGGATCAGAAATACAGAGCTTTCTAAGCAGAGGTATCACTTGAAGCCATGGGAATGGAGGAGGTTATTGAGAGAAGAAAGCAGAGAGACAAGAGAAGGTCCAGGATAAAGCTTTGTGGGCCCCAAGAGGAAGAACAAGAACATTTAATTTGTCTGAGAGAAAATGCCCAAAGCAAAAATATCAGTCTCAGTAACGGATCACATTTCACACCTTGCCTCAGAAATAAAGTTTCCCCGAATGTCATTTCTTCTTAAGCATATGTCTAGACAGTAAAAATCTCTCACCCAAATTGCTATTTTTTCCCTTGCTAATGGCTTTTGAGTGCTGAAAGCTTTTTTCCCATTACTAAATTAAATGGAGAAAATGGTCAAGTAGACCACTCACAAGCCAAGACTTACAATGCATGTGAGCTCTCTGGGCCTCAGTTTCCTTATCAGGAAGATGGAGTTGAACCACATGAACTCTTAAGGTTTCTCCCTTCCACCCCGAAGACATCAAGATGCTAAGATAGACAGAAGCAGCATCGTAAAAACACATTAATGCATAAGGTTGGAGCTAACCACTCCCAACCTCTCCCCTTCTATACAAAGGCACAGAAAGTGAGTCTAGAGCTTCACTTTTTATTCTGCAATCCTAGGAAGAACCTTAAAATAACCCAAACAGACCCCCACACACATTAAAAGAAAAGCATCCTCACTGAGCTGTAAGCATAACCTAGTCAGCTCATTCCTGACAGACTCAGAAAATAAGCAGATTACTAAAGCCTCTGAAAAGACGATCGGAATGTCTTGACATGTTAGAAGAATTTTTAAAGTCCTTTTTAAAATAACCTCAAGTGTTCCTGGGTCTTGCTCTTTAAAATTTCCCTCACTTGTTAGTGGCTTGGATTTCACCACCTCAATCATTTGCCTTAATGTAAAAGTTCTTATCTCAAGCCTTTAATACAGGAAACATTCTTCTTCCTTAACTACCCTCTAATTTGGTATTAGGGTGACCTCAATAACTTTAACAGCACAGACTCAATCATTCTAATCACCTCCTTTCCATTTGGGGTTCTTTTCTTCCTGCAGTTAGCTGAGAAATGAGGGGGAGTGCAGATCATGGCCTTTGATAAAGGCCTGTAGAAATTCCTTCGTATGAAGATAAAAGTGAGAAAATGTGCGACCAAATTTTATTATTCGTTTTCACCTAATCACAAAAGCCAAGTAGAGAAAAAGAACATAAAACAACATAGTCATTTAAAAAGTCCTATCTCCTTTTAATATTTTCACTCTCTTCTTTTGACATTTCCATCTAATGTTTGACTTTACTGAAGACTGTGAAGCCTTCATATTTAACTTAACACCTTCCTTTAGTGGGGGGGGGGAGGGAGGGAGGGAGGTAGAGGAAAGTGATCAGGACCTGTGATTTCATTCATTTAGGGAACTCCTGGTATGGCAAACCTCTGGCATGGAGGAAATTAGAATTGCCTGAGACACTGGAAAGTCAGATAGGCTGGCCATGATCACACAGCTAGTTAGAAAGAAGAACTTAAACCAGGTTTTCTTGACTGGGATTGAGGGCAATCTTCTATTAATTACACCATGCTATATCTCCTAATTAGTGTCTTACATATGAAAGAAAATATAGTGAATAGAGCTTTGGACTTGGAGTCAGGAAAACCTAGATTCAAATCCAACTTCAGACACTTCCTAGCTATGCGACCCAGGGTAAACATCTTAATCTCTCCTTTGTAAAATGGGGGTAATAATAGTACCTACCTCTCAGGGTTGTTGTAAGGAACAAATAAGGTAATGTATGTAAAAGTTTTGCAAACCTAAAAGCACTATATTAACATGAGCTCATGGAATCATAGATCTTGAGCTGGAAGAGAGATGTGAGGTCATTTAGTCCAAGGTTATTATTTTTTTTAAGATGAAGAAACTGAGGCCCAGAGAATGACTTGCTCAAGGTAAAACAGTGGTTGAACTGGAATTCAGATTCATATCCTGTTCCAAATTCAGTCCTCTTTCCATTTTACTTCTCTGTGTTTAGTTTCCAAAATGCTGCTTCAATGCTTCCTCTCCTCCACCCCCCTCCCAAAATAAATATTCAAACAGAAGAGTCCCACATA